AGTCAGCAAACCTTTAAAGACCTATCACTTACTATGAACTAATTAAGACCTGTAGAGATAGACTTAAGCACTTAAAAGATAATGCCTCATTTTATCTAATTTTTAAAATGCTAAACTATAAAATTAAATTTTATCTTTAACTGACCAAAATGTACATATGCTGAGGTTTTAAGCTTCTTTCTAGATTTTCTGAATTATCTTTCCTTCTCCTCTCCTTTTCTTCTCCCCTTATCCCTCCCTCTCTTTGTCTCTCTCCCTTACCCCATCTCTCCATCTTTAGCCCTTCCTTTCCCTCCTTCTCCCTCCATCCTGTCTCTCCCCATCTCTCCTGCTTTTCTGGTACCATCAGCTTAAACTTTGTCTGACTTCTGGATGAACCAGCATTGTTAGTCCCCAGAGAGTAGAGGTCCAGGAAGCAGAGGAGGACAGATCTCTACAATAAGTGCATCCTTAGAAGTAGACTTATAGCAAAGTCCTCCCATTCCCTTGTTCCTTACCAGGGCTGATGAAACTACGGCACCCTGGTGCCTTCACCAGTATTTAGTGAAACCAGAGCATTAAAATCATTAAGCATATCTGCTGCTAACACTAGGGGCTATATTGGGTCAATTTTTTAAGGATATCAAATATAAGGCCACTGACAAGGTGTAAACTGAAGGACACCAAAATAATATCTCTGACTAACAGAGAGTCTTGAAGGGATTGCAGTCTTTCAAAATATCCTATGAAAATGCATACACCCCCAAGAGAGATTTTTTAAAGCCTTATGAGGTAGTATTTCAGTAGAGATTTACTTTTCCAATGTGACAGCTGATGAAGGGGAAAAGCCTCCTAAGTATGGGATAAGAAATAAAATGAGAAGATTGTAAATTTCATAAAGGGAGAGGAGTGACAAATTTTGACTCTTGTGTGGGATAGGCTGTTTCCATACCATTACCAGGTTCTCTGGGTCCTGGTCTTATGAGTAGAGAGAATTTTTGGTCAGTCTTCTAATTTCCAGAAAAATTGGGAACTCCTGCTGCCCCAGTGCTATACTATGAGGTGTTGTTGACAATGAAAAGTTTCAATCTGTACTAAGCACCTTATGGGTTATTTTTAAGAAAGTGTCGCAAACTATAATATAACCATTGGAATAATATGTTAAATAAAACAGACACCAGGATGGGACTGCCCCCAAGGGGTGCCTGGGCCTTGTGCCAGAAACCTGTAGGGTCATCTGTCCAGTTGACTCCTTTCTAGGGTGGGAAAATGGAGGGACAGAAGCTGGAGTTGCTCAAAGATGCACCCCTGCCAGCTTAGGGGAGGAAGACCCTGGCAGAGACCTAAAACTTTTAGTTTGTATATTTGCCAACAAAAGAAAATTATGAGTCAGTGGAATGTACAAAGTAGAACTGCATTGCATTCAACCTTTTCTTTCCTTTTCTCCCTAAGCTAACAATCAACATATGCAGCTTATTAACATATCTGAGCCTGAATATTTCTTATTAGTGTGTAGTCTTTTTATATCTGTTAAATGAGCATATTTGTCTCTTTTCTTCCTGAAATATTCATTTGCACAGTTAACAAAACATTATTTACTTAAAATTTTTTCATGACCATTTTAAATAATCCATAAATTCCATCATGTCGTGAATGTATGAAGAAGGATTACAGCGTAAGGGAAACATGATGAAAATTTGGATGTGATTACTTTCTTATTCTTACTTTCCTATTTTCACTTGACTAGTTCAGGATATTAAAACCACTTTAGGCATTTTGACAAAAGTCAGCGTAGTTCCTTTTTCTACCCAGAAATTAATAATTGTCAATGTTTAGGCAGTTTGAATTTGTACTTAAGGATGGTGAATTTGATCTTTGCTCTTTAGTGTAGGGGGCTGGGGAAATGAAGTTCTCTGTGTTTATGCACTGAATAAATATGCCTGTAGGCAAGGCACTTTTCAGTCCATGGACTTTTAAAACATCTGTCTATTTAGTCCATGGACTGTTAAAACATCTATCTTGGCTGCTTCACAATTCCAATTTTAATCAGCTAATCTTCCTGCTCAGGTGCCTCCAGTCCTGATTCTAGAGAACTATTTGGTAAACTAAACCATCCATAAACCAGCAAGGCAGAAAAGATAAAAGTGGTGAAAAAATCAATGCTAAAAGTCAATGCACTGTAGATTTTTTAGTATGAGAAAGCTTGCTCAGCCTCTACACAACTCTAGTACCTATTTAGTTTACCTATTTAGTTTCTCAATTCACAGATGATTAAAAAGAATAAATTAAAATGAGATTACTGCTGCTACAGCTTATTATTGTTATTATTAACTTTTATTGGGTGTTATTAGCTGCCAGACACTGTGCTAAGCCTCTTTTCACACATTATTTCACTAAATGTTTGACAACCCTATAAAGTCAAATAATGTTAATAGCTTCATTTTACAGTTTCATAAACTAAGGATTAGATTCTAAATATCAGAAGGATAAAGTAATTTGCCAAATTTGTATGGAGTAAGTAAAGACAAACATATAGGCAATAACTTGAAGGGCTATGTTACAACTTGATTGCAAAAGAGTAGAGAAATTTAAAGGAAAAGAAAATACAAGAAGTTGAGAAGCGTAGTAATTCACAAGTTTTTAATTTGAAGACAGAGCACTTTATACCTCTCAGTAGCTTTCAGAGGGCAACATTGTGTTACAACAGGGTAAACTAGCTGGTTTGGGTAAGTATGACTTCAAACCATTAAATCTAGATTAAATTATATACAAAATCATTTCTTAAGAATGGATGAAGAGGTATAACGTATGCTATAAATACTTCTCTGATTTTTTTAAATTGAAATGCTATTTATTAAATGTCAACTTGATGTCCAGTACTGAACCTTCAAACTTATTGTTACAGAAATTACTAAGCATTAGGACAAAGTTTCAATTAATAGTTGTTCCCTATCTAAGCTCACTACAAATTCAGGTGTTAGAAGCTCTCTTTTCCTGCTGGATAGAATAAATGTTAACTGTGCATTTTGTCATCTTGGATAGCAGGAAGGCATCGGTTATCTGAAAAATTCACATAAATATAACACATCATCCCTGCTGATGGTTGTATATGTGTTGTGTTTCTAGAAATATAAAACTTTGAAAGATAAGGAGAGAATAAACTTGATTTGCAAAAGATTTTGCTTTTACTTTCAAAGCCTCTGCATTCAGATTCAGGTAGCCCAGTCTGTCAATTTGCTAGAGTTTGGGACTATGCCATCACCAGGGTTTATCCCATTATACTGACTAATGCAGAACCGACCATTTGTAAAGGAGACTTAGGACCATGGTTGACACGATGTGTGATTTGAAATGGCCAAATGCAATCCTCAACCCCACTGCTTACTTAAGGTCAAAATAGTTGCCCTAAGCCTTGCCTAAAATGGCCACATGTCACATACCCAAAAGTGAGATTCTGATCAGGGTCACTTCACAAGAGGCCAGTCCTTAGTGGACTTGCTGAGTGCTACCTGTGACACCTGATCAGTTCAGGGAAGCATGAGATCCTTGGTCCAGGACTTTCAGAAAGAGCCAGGGACTCTGTAAGACTGTTATTAGTACCCATCAACAGAGTTGGCCTCCCTGACTTTTGTACCCTTTTATACCTTTTCTAGATTTGTCCATGTTAAATTTTCCAAGAAAACATTGCAAAGAAAAACCCTAGGGACTGAATAGGTAAGCGAGGGAAGGGGCTGAGGGTTTGCAGTCTGTTCCCTGAGTGAGAAGTAAACAAACGGTCTAATGTGGAAAGAGTAAAAGTAGGTTACATGAGACAGACATAAAAAATCACATCCCAAACCACTGTGGTCATTCAAAAATATTTGCAACTTTTCACAAGGGCAGTGGTATTAATCCTAATTTCCTGGCCAAATATTCATTAAAGTAACCAAGGACTGAGTATATAAAGCTGCTTCACATCAGCACAGCATGCTACTTGCCTTGCAGCTCTGAACTGTGAGGTACTGTCAAAAAACTCTTCCACACTTTAAAAAGCTATGTTACAAAGGAGATTTGGAATGTATTCTGGGAGTTGGTGTGTTTGCTTGAGTTCAATGTGTGCAGAAAAGGCAAGCCTCCACAGGCTTTTACACACTTCCCTCTTCAGCAATGGGTATGCAGACAGCCAAGCTTCTGGACTAAGCCTCTGAATGGTAACGTACATTTATAAAGATTATTTTCTTAACTATTTTGAGGCATTTTATAAATAATATGCATGTGTTTGCTAAGGGCATATATATATTTAGTTAACTTTTGTTCGTTTTCTCCTGAGGCTGGTCTTGTGTGGTTACTTTTGTGGTATGATTTCTGAGGTGTCAGAAAGAGCTCCCTCCTACTTCCTACCCTAGTCACCCAAAAATATCTCTTGGGTTGGCTCACCACAGAGCCTAAAATTCCCACATTGCTCAAACACTTGATTTAGTCACTGAAAGCAGCTGTTAAAATCCAAATGTTACATTGGGATATTAGGCAGACATTCAAAATTAAAGACTATATAAAACAGAAAATAATATGAAAAAGTTGCTTTTGATTATATATGTTAACTTTCAAAGGATGAACGCAAAATGATATGCACAGTCTGGGATAGGTCCTGTTCTTAAAATGTCATGGAGTCAGATCCAGCATATATGCCCCAGCTCATGAACATGAGCCTGTGGTAAAAGAACCCCAGCATTGTTGGGCAGATTTTGTTCTGATTTATGTTGAATGTGTGCTCTCCACAGTTTCTGATCCTCAGCTCTCACTCTCTTCACAGTGTATCTGACACCTCCCCTTACTGAGCTCCGGATGCTCCTCCTTGCTGAGCTCTGGAGGCTCCCAGTGACCTCTTGGAAATCAGCTTTGGAGGGGCCCAAATCCCTACCCCTTGGAAAACTCACTGAGCCTGACATCTACCTGTAAGCAGCTTTCAGGAAAGATCTCACAAACGCCCATCCAATCTCTCTTGGTAGCATATTGTCGAATCATACCCATTTCCTCAAAAGATGGTGGAGGACTTAGCAGACTCCTATATTGCTCTAAAATTGGAGAATGAAATTCCACATGCTCAAGTGCAGTGGCTGATGGAAGAAAATGCTGCCTTCCAGGCCCAGATCCCAGAGCTCTAGAAGTCCTAAGGAGCCAAGGAGGATGACCTACTCCAAAAGTCCTCAGAGGCCCAGGAGCCCCAGAACCCCCTAAAGCACCTGAATTTCCCAGCAGCCAGGAGGTCCAAAAGACCCCAGAGCTCAAAGAGCCCCAGAAGCTTTCAGAGCTACAGGAGCTTCCACCCTGGGATCCCCCCAGCAGCCTGGGAGTTCCAGGAGGCCCCAGCAGGCCCAGAGTCCCTGGAGCCCCCAGCAACCCAGAAGTCCCAGAAACCTCCAATGGCCCATGAGATCCCAGCAGTATTAGAGGTCCAGGGGCCTGCAGACAGCCAGGATGCCACATCAGCCCATGAGCTCAAGAATTCAGAAACTCAGGATCCCCTAAATGTTGAGAAGCCCCAGGAGGCATCAGAATACCAGGAGACTGCAGCACAGCTAGAGTTCCTTGAGTTTCCACTTCCCCAGGAGCCTCTGGAGCCTTCAAATGCCCAGAAATTCCTAGAACTCTCAGCAGTCCAGGAGTCCCTGGAGGGTCTAATAGTTGTGGATACATTAGCAGCTTCAGAGTTTCCACAGGCCCCCACTGGGTTCGAGGCTGCAGCTTTCTCCCTGGAACGCCATTTAACCTTCAATGAAGATTCTCAGAAGCTTTCTGAGTTCCTTGTTAAATTGAATAGTAGTTACATGAGAGTCAGAGGGCACGTATATCCCACTGAAGCAGCCCTGGTGAACTTTGTTGGCAACTGCTTCTCAGGTAAGGGAGGATGTTAGTTCCAGCCCTTACCAGATATCCAAAGGCCCTTACCAGAGCAATTTGAAAGTTTCATACATGTGCTCCAGGATACTTTTGATAATCCAGAAAACATGGAAGATGCCAACCACTGGATCTGTCAACTCTGCCAAGGGGAGGGTCATGTAACAACCCACTTCCACCCAATTGCTCAAGAGCTGAACTGGGATGAAAGTACTCTCTGCATCCAATTTCAAGAAGGGCTTGTCAGTTCTATACGAGATGAACTGTCTCACACAAGTCCAGCCACCAACCTATCTGATCTCCTCACTCAGTGCATCAGCCTAGAAGAGAAGCCTGATCCCAATCCATTAAGGAAAAGCTCCTCTGAAGAGGAAGATGGGCCTGAGAGTCCACCAGCTGAAAACTATCCTATGCAGGCTACAATCAACTGCCCACACCTCAGTGAAGCTGAATTGGCCCGTTGGTGCAAAGGCCACTTATGCCTCTACTGCGGTTATCCTGGTCATTTTGCCAGAGATTGTCCTGTCAAGCCTCATCAAGCCCTGCAGGTGGGAAACATTGAGGCCTGCTAGTAAGGGGGACCCCAGGGGTGCCAATCTACAAATATGCATCCCCCTCTCTTCCAATATCCATGTCTCATACAATATGGCTTACTGTTGAAATCCGACTGGGAAGATGACAGTTCTTTGAGCAAGCAATGGTAGATTCGGGTTCCTACAGAAACAGCATCGATCATACTGTGGTTCTTCAAGAGAAGATGCCTATCCACAATAATATCTTCCCTCTGATGCTGGAAACTGTTGATGGCCATCCGCTTATTAATGGGCCCATAACCAAGGAAACACCGCCTGTCAAAGTTAAAATTGGAAACTATGTTGAAGAACTCCAGTTTGACATTATTCACACACCACACTACCCTTTGATTCTTGGAATCCATTGGCTTGAGATACATGACCCAAATATAGAATGGAGTACCCACTCTGTGTTCTTTCCATCACACTATTGTCACTACAATTGCTGCAGGCACAGGTGGAATAGAAGAAATCGTGATGAAATAGTTGCTGGGTAGATCCTACGTCCTACAGACTGCTTCTGGGAACATGGCTTCTGTTACCTAAACTGTCATAAGCATTTGCTGCTCCTTGAGTCTTCTACTGAACCTATTGCTATGAACTAAGGCTACCTGTACAAAGACTCTGCCTCTTGGATGATGGAATGAACCTGATGACTTTGAGCTTCTTTTTTTTTTTTCGGTAAATCTGCATGACTCTCTCTCAGAACCCTCCATCCCATGGGATTGTTTTAATTACAATTTATACTAACAATATGCATGAGATTAGATACTAGAAACTAACAATGAAAAAGTGTAGCTGTTGAACCGACTTTATTTTTTTATCAATATTTTCTATATCACAAAAATAGCAACATCTTTTACATAAAGAAAATAAGTTTATAAGTGATATTTTAAAAATAATAAATATTAGCAATTTCTACTTTTCTTTGAATTATTTCTTTGCTTAGCTAAAGGAAGAGATAACAGAGTAGTAAATTGTTAGGGAGAGAGGGAATTGGCAAAGGTTCAAAGTTTAGGTAGGCTCCTAAGCATTCCAGGCATAGTGATAGGTCAGCAAATGATGGAGAAATGATGTAGAGGGTAACATAGAGAAAGTAGGGAACGGTTAGGGATGAAAGTGAGTGAGGTATGGAGGGATTAAGGGAAAGGTAGAGGTAAGATTGAGAAGAGGGTTTGGGGGAGATTGAGAGGAGTTTGAAGAGGGTTTAGAGGAGGGTTGGGATGCTGAAGAGAAGGGTAAGAAGAGAGGGAAATTTCTACAAAAATAAAAGAGCACCTACAAAGACACTAAACAGCTTTGAAGGCAAACATCTTGGACTTCACAATTTAACCAAAGAAGTGCACTGGAGCAGGTAATGAGACCTTTTCAGCAACCCAGCCCTTTCAGTAAAGTAACAAGTTCTTTTTCCCTGCAGCAGGCAAATTTTTCTCAGAACTAAAGATTAATCTGCTCTTCCTAATGCACAGAAGGGTGGCAGGAATCAGATTTTAACACATGAAGAGTGTTAGTGGCCAACTGTACCTTTCTTACACATACAGGTTGCCCTACACTGCTTAACCATGATGTCTGCATGACACACATGGAAAGTCAAGCCCGGGAAAGGAATTTATGTCTTCACATGCCTGAGAGGGACTACCGTCTTGACTTACACACGTATCTCTTTCTCTCTCTCTCTCACACACACACACGCACACACACACACACACACCCAGGGTGCAGAGGATGGAGGAGGTAGAATCTCCAAGTGAGATCTGAGAAATGGTCTAAGCAGACCCTAATGCTTTTTCCGTCTTCAACTTTCCCTTGGGAGCCTCTCTCGTTGAGGCTGCTAGAAGAGGACTCTTTCCCTTATTCAGACAAATGTAGACAAATGATCAAATAACCGTAGAAGGTAATAGTGGAGGGGCTTACTGTTCACTGAGCCATTAATATGTTCAGCTACAATGTCAGGCATTTCACACACATTAATCATCTCATTACTCCTCAGAAGAATCTCGTTACTCATTACTCCTCAGAACAATGCAGTGAAGTAGTTTGCTCCTGTTTTAGCAATGAGCAAACAGAATCCAAGCAAGGCTAATTCACTTGCCCAAAGCCACACAGCTAGTAAGTGATGAAGACTTGTTTGGCCTCCAAAATCTTTGCCATTTCCCTTTCAGCAACCTCCCTAATGCAGTGTGGTGAAAGCTAAACAAAATTGTGGCAGCAGGGAACTAAGTGTGACCCTAAAGTTTTCCCCTAAAAATGAGGGGAAAATTCAAAACATAAACTTCTAAAGAGTTTAGCTAATAGTTCCATTTCCTATATTTGGGTAGTACTTCCCTAGTTCCCTTATTCTTCTGCTGACCCTGTCATCACCCAACAAACTTCCTTTTTCATTTCTTGGAAATTTTTCTTCTGTGTACCAAATGGCTCAGACCTCTTTCAGATTCCAGGGTATTTTTCATGAGAGTTGGGGGTCCAGAACAGATATCTACAGGACCTGTACATTATGTAGCAGCACCACCCCTTGGATTGTCTGCCCAGCCACTTTCATAACCCATGTAAATCTTCTGCAGCCTTAAATTCCACCTCTTCCAGTCCTCATTGGCCTTCCCTTCCTTTCCTGAACATTCAAATGTACTTTGGAACTATAATTACTTTGTGGTATGTGAGGTATATTTCCCTAGGTTCATGTCCTATATTTCCGCTATTCCACCCACACACATAAATACTTAGCTTGGGTGAAGGAATAGAACAATCTACATCTCTACCCTGGACAGTTAAATGTAACACAGTGTCTTGTCCATAAAAGGTTTGATACGGTGACTGATTCTAGGACATTTAAGTATCAGGGAAAGGGGCTTCTTTGTATACTATAGGCTCTTCTTGCATTTTCTCCTACTCAGTTGCTCATCTTTACTCCTAAAACCAAACACTATTTGTCAATGTGGAATTCAAGAGAAAAAAAAAAAAACTTTAAGCAACCACTAAGAAAAAAAATGTTTCTTATTGGTCAAATTACCCTGGACCTAGGAAGATCAACTGTGTTTGTTTCCCCTGGGACTGAGAGGAGTCATGGAACGTAGGGTTTTCTGCACTAAAACTGAAGCAGTGCTAGGCAAACTGAGACGGTTGGTCAACCTACCTGGACCCTTCATTTTCCTATCTGGCTACAGTAGCTTATTTAATTAGAGGACAATTCTTTATTTCACAAACAGGAAGAATTATCTAATCAGAATCACAGATGTTGTATGTTGAAACAGAATAAGCCCTCATCTTAATTTTACAGATTAAGGAGCTGCGGACCAGAGAAGGGAAAGTTACTTAACAGCTCTCTGTGTCCCTGCCTGTTGTTTTTAACTCCAGTGGCCTCTTTTCACCATGATCCACCATTCAAACCCAACAGTTAAAAATCAAGTCTGTGGCTACCATTCTGTTAGATACTGTAGACAGTGTTTAAAGTACAGCATAAGAGGTTTAGATGTGGTCAAGAACAAAAAAATTAGCAGGCATTACACAGCTAGCATGGACAGCCAAACGCTAAGTTCTGTGATGACAACAAATATACTAAACTGAAACATAAAAGATCATAAGACTAATAACAATTTCCATGTAATAAGCACATGCTCTTTGCCAGATATTGTGCTGGGTCACTTAGGTCTTTTCAACTGTCTGCAATGTAGATATTGTTAGCCCATTATACAAATCAAATGATTGAAGTCCACTGAAGTAAGGTTACTTGCCAGAAGTCACACTGCTAGGAATTGGTAGATTCTAAAAACAAACTCTGATCTGTCTCATTCCAAAGCTGGAGTTTCATCCAATCTACCACACTGCTTCTCAGTATGAATGACCTTTACTCTATTAACCACCCTAATAATATTGATTCACTAGACATGAGTACTGGCACCCTAGAAAAAGATTTTAATTTGTTAAATCATTTATTAATTTACTCATTCAACAAGCATAATGCAATGCCTTCTATGCATCAGACACAAGACAGAGGGAAAAGAGAGACAGAAAGGAAGAAAATGTAACTAAAGCATGACATTGTTTTTGCTCTGACCACAATTTAACAGGGGAAGCTGTTGTGTAGTGCAGCACTGTGATGTACGAAAGAGAGAACACTAATTCTGCTTGAACTGAAGTGGTGCATTTTGAGCTGGTTCCTGGGGAAACCTCATTGGAAGCAAGAAGAAGGGCAAGGCTTCCTAGGTTGAGTGCAGTGCAAATGAAAAATCAAGCTGGAGGGAAAAAGAAAGGTGTCTTCAGAAATGATAGTTCTATGACACTGGAGAGTAAAAGAGTGTGTGTGTGTGTGTGTGTGTGTGTGTGTGTGTGTGTGCGTGTGTGTGTGTGTAGGGTGGAGGTGGGGAGATGAAGCTTTAGGTTAAAGACCTTATCTATCTATTAATAGCTAAGGAGTTCAAATTTATCCCATGAGTGATTTAGACTAAGATATTTGTTTTTCTTTCTTTTCTCTGTTTTAAATTTGATTATATTTTTCTCTCCTGCTATGAAATACTGCACACTTATTTCAACAAATTCATATGTATCAGGACTTTATAACATAAAAATTGAAGGCTGGCCCCTTTCTCTTTCCCCATCTCACAAACTCAGAGGTTTTTAAGTAGGAAAGAAACATGATTAGTTTGTACTTTAATACTTTTATAAGAATATGGAAAATGATAAGAAAGTAAGTGATAACCTGTGCCTATTCTATCTTCTTAGACTTTACATAGATGAGTTCAAACCATCAAAAGCAAAATATTAAAAGTTAATTAAGCTCAACTCTCATCAAGTATTTATTTTAAGGGCTTACTGTGAGCAAGACACTGAAGTACGCATAAAAATATGCAGGACAACAACCCTACCATCAATAATTTTACAATCTAATAATGGATGAAAGATCATGAATAATAAGAAACTACCTTTTCATTTGGACCTCATCGGTTTCAAACATTGAAGAGTCTCTGAATGAAGTTTTAAAAAAAAATTCTGTAATACTTGGCACA